CTTTAACAAAGTCATCAAACACTCGCCTCATCCACATCTTTTAACTTATCCAATATGACATTGTAATCCACTAAATTCATAGCATTATCAACTCTCCAGAATAATTTTTTATACAGACTCACCATTATGTTTTCTTTTCCAATTTGTATAAGTGTGGCTTTGAATAGTTTTTGTGTTCATAATTTAGCATTAACTCGAATACAACATTCTCTAGGACCTAAAAACATACTCGTGACAATAACTTAAATGAATAAAATAGTAACAAATGTCAATCAAACAAAATTTGAAACTTATCTTTTGTTAGTCACTAATAACTATCTAAGAATTTTCATCAATTATGACTAAGATCCCTTGTAAGAAAATCCATTAACCATCTCTAGTTTTCTTCATTCTCATTATCAACAACGATCCACACGATGGAAAACATCTAATCATTGGTATCCCTTAGTAAATATCCTCCTAAAAGTGTTTTCAAGAAAGTACCATCAAAACCAAACACTCTCCAATAATTATCTATAAATCCTTTTCTTAATATTAAAAAACTAATATAAAATCTTATAAACTCAAAATTCCCACCCACTATAGTTTTAATACGTAAAGTTCCTTGCTTGTCTATCCTCTTCAACTTAAGCATATAAGATCTTAATTTTGTATAATACTTTATCAAAGAACCTTTCAACATGTCTAGAGCCACACTTCTAACCTTGTAACACATTTGAATATTTATTATCAATGCATACCTATTATTGATAGCATCCTACATTTTCTTTACAAGCCAATTAAGATTATTATGAAACTTATAGAGATAGATTTTGACTAGCCATTTTTGAGTAGCTTGCCTAGTTATCGGTGATCTTACACATTTATGCTCGGTATGTACAACCTTCACTTCAAATATATGTTATAACTATTTCTTACTTACATACACTTTCCATTCATAATCTTTAATATATCTAGCTTTCATAACATTTTTTGTACTCCTAACCTAACCGACATCTCTTTCATTTTCAATACCATATAATTACACACACCTTCTAAATTATTCAACATTTATGAATTTCATTTCGAGTCTTGAAAACAAGGTCCTCGTGGTTACATGTCGGATCATACACATTAATTCTTTTCTTTTTTTTCTTTCTCTTATAGGTAAATATATCATCTTCATGACTTTCATGAGGGTTATTTGCTCATCTTCACTACTTCTATCATATGCACCAACATACCCTCCTTTATTAGGTTAAAGTATATTGTATTCGGATCGATTAGAATTTTTTCTAACCGATAGGGTTGGTATCGCCATGTCATCACCGAACCGAAGTCCAAAACCACACCTCCTCCTCACACTCCTTTGCTTTCTAGCCTTAATTAGTTCTTCATTAATAAAACTTATAGAATCAACATCACTTAAGTTACTATTACTTTGTGGTTTCTCAATTGAAACATAGTCTTCAACATCACTACTTATATCACCACCTACATTATCACCCAAAGCTCAAACACTAAAAGCATCTCCATTTGCATTATCACCCAAAGCATCATCATCTACATTATCACCCAAATCTCCAACACCTAAACCATCCCCACCGTATTATCACCCAAACCACCATCACCCAAACCATCACCACCACCTTTTTCTTGAGTTAAAACTCCATTTTGTTCGATATCCTTATCCGCCTCTATAAAAAACATCTATAGACCCTTCTGACATGCAATACCTAACATTTGTATAAACATCACACCCTTATTTATAATTAAACTTCCCTCTCTTAAATTTAAGCATGACTATTTAAACATCATAACCCTAGGTGTCTTATATCCAGCTTCACACCAACATCATATAGATCTTTTAAATTTATAAAGTCAAGGTCTTTTAACCACTCAACCGATATAACTCTTACCTCTCTAACATAAGAAATGAGACTCATGTTATTAAAAGCCTTACCAATATGAAAATTAATCTTGAAATGATTTTGTCATCACGTAGACAAAAACACCAACCAAAAGACAAATAGATTTGGGTTATGTATTTGAGTGGTTGATGGTATGAGAGTAATGGTTTTTAGGGTATTTTCTTGAAGGTTCATCTCAAGAGGTTTGAGATTTTGAATTTCAAGGATTGAGGACAAAGAGGGATTTAGGTTTTCATTTTCGAACTATAACTATTACTTCACGATAAAATGAGAGAATGTGGTTGAAGGGTTTGTGGGTTTGGGGAATGAGAAGGAAGGTGTAGACAAAGAAAGGAGAAGAAAAGATCTATGGGTTCGATTCCGGGAAGAAAGAAAGAGAAGATGAGAGGATCTATCATTTTGATTGTGGGAAGAAAGAAGGAGAAGATAAAGAAAGAAAAAGAAATGAGCTATTGTTTTGATTCTAAGAAGAAGGAAGGAAGAATAATGGATGATTTTACGAAATGAAGGTAGAAGGATTTGAGAATTTGAAAGAACGAGGTACTTGTGGAAAATCTAAAATGAATTTGTTATAATTAGGATGAATTGAGGGAATTTGAAAGATCGAGGTACCGTAGATAATTAAAATGAATTTGAAAAGGTTAGGTTAATTTGAATTGGGGATTGAGGATTTTATTGTAATTAGGTATATATGAAATGACATGTCTCTTAGGTTTTGTAATCGATCTCCATGTCGACACTTACGTGGAATCCTACATGGCACATTGAGTCTAGCTATCACGCTTCGTCATTTGCCATGTCGGTGATGCTTGGATTTTTTATTGAAAAATTAGATTGGTGCTAGTATTGTTATCGGAGGCTTAGTTGATGATCTTTCTATACAAGTTTTAAAAAATGAGCTAAAATCATCAAAACTTGTATAGTTCATGATTTTCTAGAACATTAAGCCTTTTTTTATAATTAGGGTCAAGAGAGTGGAAGACATGCCTTTCAATATTGAGTAGCTAATTATCCATGTGGCTTCTTATGTGGATCCCACGTGTCACATTTAACCTACTTATCATGCTTCATCGTGTGCCACGTCAACTTTGATTGGAATTTTTGTCAAAAAACTTTACATGCACTGTACTAGTATTTTTAGCAAAAACTTAGTTCATGATCTTTCTATCCAAATTTGAAAAAATAAGCTAAAATCATTAAAAGGTGTAAAGTTTGTGATTTTTTGGCACATTAAGCCTATTATGAATACAAAGTTAGATCAAACTCTTACGAGAGGTCTAAGGATACAAATTTTGTTGAATAAAATGAAAGTGTGAATTTTTACAAGGAAAACTGAGTGTGTAAAGTACTTTGAAATAGATGGTTCAAGACAAAACCCTAGGTCACAATCATACGGAATAAGGAAAAAGCCATGGAAATGATTGATTGATAGTAAAAGTTTTTGATTTTGAGGAGCAAATTTTGTCAATCCAATTTAATTTTTGGTTCAACCATGAAAAAAACAATAAGAAGATATCAAATACCAAGTCAATCAATTATAAGGTCTTTTAAATTATTGAAAAAATGATTATAACACGTGAATTAAATTGGATTTTTATTACATCGTTATAGTCTTCTAGTAAGTCCTTCATTGGTAAAAATATGAAAATAAAAAGTTAATACTAAAGTGATGTTGCTAGTGGTTGCCATCGATGCAATTGTAGTCGGATGGTGATTTTAATGGTAGTTAAGTTGATGATGATAATGATAACGATGAAATTGATAATATTTAGGTTGTTTGGAGCTATAATTATAAGATAAAGATAATAATGATAGTTATATTAATTGTAAGTGTCAACGGTGACGGTAATGATGATAGTGAGATGATGTTCGTGGCTTCGATGGTGGTAATGTTGTGATTTCAAAAATAGCTATATTGGGAATACAATAGTGGTAACTATTTTAAAACATGTTAAGAGTTTGTTATTTTTTTTTCTCCATTACATTTTCATTCTAAATATTTAATTCTTAAATTAAAAAATTTTTAGTTTTTTTTTATTTAGCTTATATATATATGTTTGGGTTGATAAGTGCGATATAAAATAGATTTAATTATTAAAAAAAAACATCATAAATAGGCTGCCAAAGTTTGGAAATTGGGTGTTAGTTGTATTGATATATGATAGTAAATCGTTTTCCACTGATATCGGACCTAATATCATTATATAAAACATTATATTTATCAGTATAATATATGGATTATGGATATCATTGTACAAAATATTGTTATAAAAAGATTAGATTTATAAACAAACAAATATCAAATTATAATTAAGTTGACATGATAGGATCTTTAACAATAATTTTTTAGTTGTCGATAGTGCTATATTAGTGATTTATATCATTTTTAAAAACGACATAACTATATATCCAAAATTATTGACATTTGAATATCATATAGATTTTTTATTAATCATTTACTCCACGAATCTTTTAAGTGTGAATGCAATGTTTTAATTTGTGTATAAAAATATTTGCAAAACTGAATTAAGGTTTCTAATATAAGTTTGCGGGAGCACAACGCCTCGTTTCAAGTGGTAGTACAAAATAAAATTACACGTACTAGTCACACAAAACCTCCCCTAAATTTCCCATGGTATAAAAACAATCAGAACCCTCCCTGCTCATTTTCTCTCCCCTCTCCATTGTTCTCGCGCCTCTTCAAGATCCAGAAAAACCCTAGAAAGCTCCAACTTCTTTAAAGGAGAGAGGTGAGAGAAGGTCACGCCACAGCCTTAACCACCTTTCTCTCACCTGCCTCGCTAGCTCTCTATCTCCGATCCGATACTGAGTCAGGTTCGCTCCTTCCCTCTCGAATTTTACACTTTTTAGCTATCAAATGTTCTCCGGTCGCAACTTTTTCATAGTTACAGCTTGATTTCGGTGGAAATTAAGTGTAAATTGAAACTTCATCGCTAGATTTTTCTTTTTCTTAGTATTTTAGACTGTTAAAATGAAGCTAGGTTATTGCTATGAAAGTTTAATATATCTTGTGCACGTCGCGATTATTTAATTATGATTTTGGTTGCATTTCAGAGATTTTGATTAGTCATGGCAGCACCAGTGACGCAAGTCTCAGTTCCAACTGCTGATGTTGTATGTTCTTTAACTTTTCGAATTTTGGTTTGTTGGATCCCTGTGCTTTGTTTTCTTTGGGCTTTTAATATGCATTTAATTGGAAATTTTGGTGGATGTAGGTTGGTAATGCTTTCGCTCATCAGTACTACCATATCTTGCACCAATCCCCAGAGCTTGTTCACCGATTCTACCAGGATTGTAGTAAGTTTGGACGTCCTGGAGAGCATGGGGTCATGAGTACCACAACCACCATGAATGTGAGTTCTAGCTTGTTTTACACTCACCCTTGTACTGTTTTAAAAGTTGTTGGACGGTCTTTTCTTTTCCCTCCATAGATTTGGGAAGTAGAATGTCTGTCTTTTGTTTATAAAATGAAGCAGAAAAAAAATTCCTAAATTCTTATCTTAGATTTGTTTATTCAACCTGAAGAATTCAGCTTTGTCTTTTTCTTTCTTAAATTTGTTTAATGTCCTTCGTATATCATTCTTAATGTTTAGCAGCTTAGAACTCCTTTTGTAACTGCAAAAGCTGATTGCCTGCAAATTCCCCCTCCCTGCTAGTTTTCTTGATTTGAATGAGAATTTGTTGCACCTGTACATGTGGGGCAGGCTATTAATGAGAAGATACTTTCACTCGGGTATGGTCAAGTCAGGGCAGAAATTGTTACGGTTGATTCACAAGAATCTTACAATGGAGGAGTTCTCGTCCTTGTGACTGGGTATTTGAATGGAAATGACAATTTGCGACAAAAATTTACTCAGAGTTTCTTCCTGGCTCCTCAAGACAAAGGCTATTTTGTGTTGAATGATGTGTTTCGATATGTTGATGACACCCGACCTCAGAATGGAAATCAAGAACCTGCTGACAATTTTGAAGCTTCACTTGCTTCTGACCAGGGTAACGAAAATGGATTACTCTTTGAATGCAGATTTCTAGTCCAACTTCCTTGTTGAAATTGAAGCTGTTTCTGTTTACAGATGCTCCCAATCAGGAAAATCACATTTCTGAGCCAATAGTTGCTTTGTCTGAGGAAGTCGCTGGGGAGGTGTACAATCCCTCTGAAATTGAGGATGGTTCAGTTGAGGAAGAGGAAGAGGAAGAACCAGTGCCTGAGGTTGTTGATGAAGTTCCTCTTGAGTCCCAGGTGGTGGCTGACTCCCCAGTTGTGGCCGAGTCTGTTGCTAAGATTGAAGAAGTTCCAAAGAAGTCATATGCCTCCATCGTAAGTAGCATTACACAACATTTTTCTTAAACTTCTTGCAGGTTCTTTTACTGTCATTTTGCCACTGGGGTTTGCATATTAAGTACCCTCAAGCGAACATGTAGAAGTGTTTGTTCGTAATGATGCAGCTGATATTGTTTTCTATGTCCTTGCTCCTTTTCTGTTGTTGGATTTTTCTCTATTCAGTTATTTCCATTTCTGTTACAGGTGAAGGTTCTGAAGGAGAACGCTACACCTTTCTCAAGCCCTACCCCTACTCCTCTGAGGTATGCACCAAAAATCCAAGAACAAGCGGCTGCTGCAGTGTCTCAACCCCCAGCAGTCGAGGCACATGTCTCCATCTCTAATACTATCGAAAATGGGAATACCCAAGAGAGTGAAGGTGCTTGGTCCTTTAATTGCTTTGGTGTTTTTTTCCAACTTGTTACTATTATTTTGTGTGCTTTTATAATGTTATCTTTGTGCATGCTTGCGTACCTGATCTGCATATTTATTCAATTATTTGTTTACAGAGGGTCCTTCTATCTACGTGAAAGGTCTGCCTCTGGATGCCACACCTTCCTTGCTCGAAAATGAGTTCAAGAAGTTTGGACCTATTAGGAATAATGGTATTCAAGTTAGATTCCAAAAGGTAGGCATCAAACATATTTCTTTTGATTCTTCAGTTTTCCTTGGTATTATACTAATTCCTGTTATCCACTGGTTTTCTGGCAGGGATTTTGTTTTGGCTTTGTGGAGTTTGAAGTGGCAAGTGCTGTGCAAAGTGCATTAGAGGTTTCCATCTACTTTGCTATGCTATTGCTTGTGCTCTGTTCTTATGATTTTGTCTGCAGATAGATCAGTCTGTTTGTTTCCTCATTTAAATAACATGATGATGTTCCATTACGACAAAGAGTCACTTGCTTCTTTAGTATTATGAAATGTCATATCTTGTTTCCTTTTCGCCTGGAACAAGTAAATTGGATGCATTAATTGTGGATTTATCAGCAACCTGCTTTGCTTGCCACAACCATGTGGTTGTGTTTCCTTATTATCAATCTCCTTAAGATAAGTAGTCTTAATGTTTTCAAAGTTTTCTTTATTTTCGTCTGTGATTGCAGAATTTAGCTGGAGCTTCCCCATCCTTTTGAGCTCCTTTGTCAAATGTACTTTAGTTAATTTACGTGTCAAATTATATGCTCATTGGTGTTTCAGGCTTCACCGGTTATGATTAATGGATGCCGCGTTGTTGTTGAGGAAAAGAGATCTACTTCCCGAGGCAAGCTGGATTTTATAGTCAAAATTTTCTTGTTTAAGACTATTCATTCACAATTCATGGGCATGTTTTTTTAACTGATTTGTAACAATTTTGGCAAATGGTATCTTTATTTAGCTTGAACCCAGAAGTTCTTTTTAGCATTTAGACTTGGATCAAATTAAGAAATTGTCTGATAGAAACTTCGATTTTAATTTTTTTATGAAAGTTTATATTAGTAAACTCTACATATATACAACCCCACTACATTCTAGAAATTTTACTATTTATAAGCTCCTTAAGAGTGTCTTTCAGTTTAATAAAACATGAAGGGTTTCTGTTTACAAAAAAATGAGTTAAATGTCTTAAGTCATCATTGTATGTAGCATGGTACACCCGAACTAAAATAATTGTAAAGCATGTCTAATGAAAATAAAGAGCATTTTGGCTCCCAAGTAATCTGTTGTCCCAATAGGATGAGGGCGGTAAAATCCACGTTATTACGTATCTCATAAATGAATATTCTCAGACCAGTTTTTTCATAGTGACATCTCTACTCTTGTAGTGATTGTTATTGTATTGGTTGAACATTGTCAGACAACATTTGTGCTTGTAAACTGGAAAATATGATTGAGCAAGAAGTATATAATATACTGTAGTTTAAGCAAGAAGTCTGGTTAATTCTCTCATGTGAAATTGAATGTTCAATTTTTCACTTCAGGGAACAATAGGGGACGGTTTTCATCTGGATCGGGGGCTGGATATAGAAACGAAGGAATGAGAGGACGTAATAATCTGGTGGGAGGAAAAGCTTATCCCAGGGGTGATTTTGGTAACAAGGCAGAGTTTGGAAACAGAGGCAGCAATCGTGGTGGTGGATATTCAAACCGTGGAGGTGATGGATATCGGAGGGCTGATAAGATGGGGAACAATGGTGGTCGGGCAAACCGTGCTGGTGGTTTAGGTCTTAATGGCACAGCCAAGACTACAACGCCAAGAGTATCTGCTACTGCTTGAAGATCCATGACTTGTGAATTGTTCAGGAATGGTCAAAGATAGTTCTGTTTTTAGCGAAGTTGGTTTAATAGTATTAGGAGGAGAGCCATTCACTTCTATGGATGAGCTTTCTCAAGGGTTTTGTCCTGGACTTTTTGTCCATTTTTCTTTAGTATGGAATGATTTGGGGCGGATGCTAGTAAATGTTTTTTCCTGGTATACTAAATCTGAAATGTCTTGTCCAATTTCCATGGTATTTTTAAGTCCATATCATGGCGATTCTAAGTCCCTTTTGGGACCTTAATTTTTCATTTAATTAAATATTATCAAGGCTTTGTTGGTTTCTCGTTTAGCGTGATTATGTTAGCCGTAACAGCTCGCGTAGTTTGAAATTTTTGTTTTTTCCTAGTCTAAATTGTGTCAATTGCCAAAAACTCTGGCTTCATCAATTTTTTTTTTTTCGGTGCCGCTTTTTTTATTGGTCAACAATGGGAGGAATCATAAAACGCCTTGCATGCTCTTGAGAAGTTACTTTGGTATTAACTGTGGAAAATCGGAACAGATCTGATGTCTGGATACCATTCAACTTCACAGCTGTATTTAGGAATTTCTTTTCTTGGTTGAATGGTGCGTACACAGATACACGCGTCGAAGAAAAAAGAATTGTAGTTTCTTTCTGAAATATTGCTTGCTGAAGGCCTTCCCAATTGTGTTTGTTGTTGGTGCTGCCTTTGATCCTGGAGCTTGTTACCTTCATTGATTGCCGTTCCTCAACAAGTATTTGCTCTTCAATCCTGGCTGTTCGTTTCAATTTTTTTCGAAAAAGAAAGAAGAATGTCACTTCCTCATATATATGGTGGATCGCAATAGGGGCTGGGGCGTTCAGCACGCATGATTAACAGAAATCCAAGAGAAAGAAATCTTTCCCGTGATGGAAAGAAATGTTGATGCCAGCATTCGTGTTGCCAGGCTGAAAGAAAAAATATTTCTTGAGCGTAAGCTTTCTACCTCGGCCGTCGGAGGGCGTAGTATGGACTCTCCTCAGACGTGTTTGAAGAGGGTGCAAATTGGTGGGTCACATGACGAGAGTAAACAGACACTCGACAAATTCTTTGAACACTATAACATTAAAATCCAACCATATTTCTTGTAGCTACATCTTCCAGCCAAATACAACAAATTTTAGTTGCATGCCTTGTATAAATAAATGGACGAAGAAATCTAAAATTAACATAACTTATGCTACACTTGGAACGGTGCTGAATTTCCTGCAACAGGAGGGCACCAGATAAAAGATTTCACTGGCGTTGGCAAATCTACTGCGAGGAAGGTTCAAACATGAAGGGCATACTCAGAGACCAAAATTGCAGGCCTGGACAAACTCCAACTCATAGTCAACATACTTTGTCCATAGTGGTTTAAACTGGGTCATTGCAATATCAAGCCACGGCTTCATATTCCCATTGAAATGCACCACTGAAGCAGAGCGAATCTCATCCATACTAATGCTAGGATTATACCCAAGTCCCAGGACATGCCATGACTTGTCTAGTGGCTTCGTTGTTGAGTAAAATGTGATTAAACCTGGGGGCAGGGTGCCCAGTTTCCACAAGGTTCGGTTCTCATTCTGCAACATCATCAGAATCTCTACTTAATAATGTACAGGAAGAACTTCATAGACACAGTGCAGCTTTTACAGACATATAACCTTGTTTCAGTATTTACAGCTATATCCACAGAATTTAGTGTAGATTAAAGGTAATCAGGTCAAAGGACATGTTTTCAGAGTGTAACATCCTTGCAAAAACTACTTTACACGTTCTATAGGAGGCTGTCCACATTTTTGTTTTAATGCTGGAGATTAGAAATTGCGATAAAAGAATTGGAGATAAGAAAGCAGCATTCTATGCGAAAACAACCTACCATGTGCCCTAATATAAACCCGAGCAATGAACAACTAGACAAGTTGAAAAAAGGGAACAACAGAGCTTACAGGACAATAACGCAATCTTACCAGGTTCTGCCAATAATGATACTCTTCTGTGCACTTCTCTCTCCGCCAAGCATCCAAATCAAAGAAGTTCATGCCGTATGCCCAAGCACAAGCCTTTGGATTAAACTTCTCCTTGATCAAAGGGTGAGAGAAATTCATATACTGAGCATACCTATGAAATGACCCAAAACAGGTCTCCACAGCTCCATTCACCTTCCCATCCATATCTATCTTCCACAACCCTGTCAAATCCTTCTGCACCACTATATCATCGTCTAAGAACAATATCCTATGCAACTTTGGATACATCTCCGGCAAATAAAACCTTAAGTGATTCAAAATCGACAAGTACTTAGGGTTCCTAAACTTCATGTTCGTAGTATCCTTGGTCGCATTCTCAAGCTTATTCTCAAAGTAAAACTTCTGCAGATTCGCTGACTCCAATTGCTTAAGTACAGGTACATATGACGAATTCAAGAATTTATAATCCTCAACAGCTTTCACCTCTATATGTGCCCCATTATAATCTTTTAATTTAAACATAACCTGCATTGCACCGAGATTCATTTTATCAGTCACAACATGAAAAACATGTTTCCACGGCTCTTTTGCATTCTTCACTGCTGAATTCACCACCACGGACGCTGCAATCACATTATCAGAGAAAATTGCATAATGGTAAAGCTTTGGATCCTCCAACTCAGGAAGGGGTGGCTTCCCTTCATCATTATACTTGTCTGGATGAGCAATCCTCTCCTCCATCAACCTCATCGCAAGGCAATGCAAACTCTTAGGTATTGATTTCGCAGCAATCAAGCTTGAAAACGCCCCTTGCTTTTTTGCTTTAGTTAATTGCTCATTAACAGCAAAAATGGTATCCTTCAACTTCTGAATCTTCAACTGATTATCAAAACTTTCTTTCGCTTCAGCAATCACTTGGCGCGTAACCTTGATTCGCTCTTTGACTTCCTTCTCAAATTGGCGAAGCGTGAATTCATCAATAGACAGAGAATCAGACTCGAAAAGAGCCCGATAAGAAGGCTTGTTAATAAGATCGGTGTAATTTCGTGAGAGATCAGCAAAAACCCTAACAAGCTTGGAATTCTCCAGCTTGAGTTTGCGCGCATAGGATGCATAAGCATGGGCAAGAGAGCGATGATCATCTGCTTGTTTGCGGATCTGATCCAATCGGGGTTTAAGTGGATCTGATTTGAGTGCCAGCACGGATCTCCTCCCGGATCCCAAACCGTATGCAACATCACTGAAACCCTAAATCAAAGATGAATAATAATAAAAAAAAGAATTACTACTTTTTAATACAATTATAATTAATTAATTAATTAATGCTCTAGTTTCAGTTACAATAATTTCACATAAGCAAAACAAACAAACTAATAAATGTTATCAATTAACTTCCACTAACCAATGCGCAAAATTCAAAAAATAATAAAAGAAACGAAAGTAGTAAATATGATCCAAAAGCAAGAACAATGAATTACAAATATTTCTGTCAGCTTCAATGTACATTTCTTAAAACAACAATAATAATAACAATTAATTTAAGAATCTACGAGATCCGTGGAGAAAATTGGATCTCAGGAGCAAGGGAAAGAGAACTTACAAAGTTACGGGTGTCGGTGGTGGAAGAGTGAGAGTGAGAAGTGAAGAGAAAAGAAACAGTAAAAAACAGAAAGACTGCTACTGCTATGACCGACCCCAACAATCGAAACGAAATACCGATTCCACTGCGCGAACTCCTATGATTCGCCATTTCCTTTTCTTCTTTCTTTGATTTTGATCAACTAGAGAGGAATGGGAGGAAGAATTGACGGTGAATGGAAGGATAGATGGTGGGACGAGAAACAAGAGTCACAGGGCGGGGGGAGACAGAAATCTGGGACGAAAAGACGCTTCTTCACTGCTATTGGTTGTTCAAATCAATAAAATCTGCTACTGGGTTCTCAACAGAAATAGAAATCGCAAGATCTAGACCCTCCTTCGTTTTTGCATTAGGATGGACGGATCAGATTTTATTATGTTCCTATTATTGCTGGCTAGTGACAAGTGGTTAATTAGTGGCGGTGACGTGACGTGCGCGGGATCCAGTGTGAACTCCTAATCTCTACTGTAATCAGCCAAATCGAGTGACAACCAAAATAAAATAAAATATTCTTTTCTTTCTTTTATTTACAGTACATAATTACATGCTGCTCTGACGGTGATGGAGTAAATTATAAATTAAACTTTCTAATTTTGACAAAAAAAATAATAATAATAATTAATTATTCAGTCATTTGATTATATTTAATTTAATATTATTTATTTTTAAAATATTTTTTTAATCAATTTTTTCATAATTTATATTTTTTTCTAAAATAAAAAATAACTTAATTAAAAAATATAAAAATATTAAATAATTAATTTTTGGAATTGAAGAACTCATTAATTTATTTCTGAAAACTAAAAAGACTGATTTATAATTTACTTTATGGTGATGGAGGGTTAAAAATGGTTTATATAATTTATATTAATGTTTTTAATTCCTAGCTTTATACTATTATAATTTTTTTAACAAAAGATGTAATTCAACTGGTAGCAATTAAATAATTTATTTATTTTAATTTAAGAAATAGATGTGATGTTGATTTCGTACTATAATAAACATCACATTTTTATAGAAGTCCCCAAAGGAAAAACCCACGGTAGAGGTAGCTCTCCATGGAGTCGGTGACGGAGATCCCATCTATCTCACTAAATTATAAATTAGACCCTTTAGTTTCAAAAAATAAATTAATTAATTTATTTCATTTCAAAAACTATCATTTGATCTTTTAAACAATGTTGATCATATTTAATTTAATATTTCTGTTATTTCACAAATATCTTCTTCTTTTTATCAATCTTTTCATATTTTCTTTCTTTCTTTATCTTAAAAAAATCTAAATAAAGTAAAAAATAACAAAAAGGACTAAGTTATTAATAAATTTAAAAATATGAAGATTAAATGATTTGTTTTCAAAACAAGAAAGACTAATTTATAGTTTACTCCATCACCATCAGAAGCTAATCCATCCACCGCCTTTACCCAACTCTATCAACAAAACAACTAAACCATTAACAAAGTCTAAATTAAACTTGAACACATTTATAATAGATTTATATAACATGGTTTTCATTAAGAAGATTACGTTAGGAACACATTCATGACCAGAGAGGTCTATGCATAAACTGATGATGTCTTCCTAAGTACCAGACAATTATGTTTTTATTTTGATGAAATAACAAACTAATCTAATATAATTGAAATTATTTAATATTGTATCTAACATTTGATTAAGTTAGGTGAAAGTAGCGTTTGGACTGCACTTGCTTATGATGGACATTTCAAGTATGAAAACACAATACTTTACAAGTATAGAAAAAATATTATATGATTCTCAAGTCAAAGAAGCAAATATTTTACAAGCATGGAAAGAAAAATATATGATTCCCAAGTAAAAGAAGTTATATATTGAAGACCATTTCCAAAAGTGCGATTGTCAAAGCTTTCAAGTTATCAAAATCTATAGTTCAATTTTTATACTATATTGTAAAATATCTAAATACTAATCAATTGCTCGTACTACGCTACGAGCTAGGTTGAATAGGTGAAATCATCTAATTTTATATATTTTAAATCAAAATTTTGTATTTAATTTCTTCTTTTTTATGTTTTTCCCTTAAATTTTGTAGTTAAAAAACTTAATTTGTTTTTTCCTTATGCATTGATTCTTAATAAAACTTGCAATAATCTAAATAGAAAATTTAATTCAAAACTTAAAAAAATACTTTAGTAATTTTTTCATAGGATTGCATTGAAAAAATAAAGCAACAACTAATATAAAAGCTTATATAAAAATTAACAAATGATTTTTTTAATTCTTATTTAATGTTTGTGAAAAGATTTTTTTTTAAAGTATGTACATTTAATTTATATATGTTTATCAACAAAATAATTAATAATAATTCTATTGAAAAAACTATATTTGAATAATTAGATGATTCTTCTAAATCATTATTTAATTCTTTTATTTGAAAAAAATGATTTTAGAACATGAAAAAAATATTTTTATGTGTATAGATACATAATTAATTTTCAATATATATATATATATATATATCCACCTATCATACTCTCATTTAAAAATCATACGAATCCATCATATAAATTATAATCATATATTAAAAATAAAATAATAATATATATTAACAAATAAAATTACATAAAAAAATTAAAAATTAATTTGATGAGAATTTTGACAAGAAACGATAAATTGAATAAATAAGTTTTAAACAATTAGAGTAATATAATGTGATATATATGTTCAACCTAAATTTTTAAAGCATGTCATATATATTTCATCATCATTAAACTCGTATCAAAAACTCAAAAAATAACGATTGGTTTTCTATCATTTTCACACCGAACTCCATGAAAAAAAAATTAAAAATAGATTATTGGAAGAAAAAAAAAAAAAAAAAAAAAAAAACCCAAGCCAAGCCCGCCCACTTTGGCTTGCTTGTGAAAGCTTGTGCACTTGGGCTTGCTTGAGAAGGCATGCGCCTTAGGCCAAGCCCGTAAGCTTGGGCCTATTTGTGCGAGCTTGTGCATTGGGACCCTCGTTTGGGCTCGTTTCTATAAGCTTGCGAGGCTTACTAGCTTGCAAAAGAACAAAAAATGTAACTTTTGGCAAACTCAAGTCCGTTAGAAAATTGCTAGTTTTTTTAGACCTCAAAAAACTCAATTCGACATTATTTTTTTCTCAAACTTCCTTTAAATGACTGAAATAAGGTCAATAAACTCGTTTGAAACCTTCAAATTTATTTTAATACACATTAGGAAAAAAATCAAATCAAAAAAATTCATTTTTTTTTTTTTTGCACCTTCTCTAATAATTTGATAGCTTAAAACCACTATAAGCAAACTCTTCTCTTCAAGATAAGCAAATTGAATGAAATATCATCGACCAAAGTGGACGAAATAAGCCTAGTCGATGCTCTCTCTCTCTCTCTCTCATTCCTTCTCACTCTTTGCTTCTCTTTCTTTTCTACATCTAAATACCAAAGTGTGTCATAAATAAAATTATAGATAAAAAAAAAAAGGTTGGAAAACATCGGGAACTAAAGTGTAAAATTTTGTATAGTTTGCATATAATTGATCGAAAAAGGCATAAAAGCTATAAAAAAAAAAAGTGTTTCGATCTGCAGTGTAACCGAATCTAGTGCTACGATAATTGCACGATAAAACCCTACGAATCTTTTAGTCTTTTTTTTTTTTTTTTGTAATTTTTTATGTCAACGAGGATGTTACCAAATCATATTAGAAAAGATTTAGAAGGATCATTCGTGTTAGTTGTATCCATAAGGCTCATATGAATCTAGTTTGGTAGGAAAAACTTGAGAAAAATCAAGATTAGATCGAAAAGGCAAAGATCAATTAAACATGATGAAAACCTATTTGGTAGGCTAGAACTAGCTTATTAGAGGTCCAGGAGGAGTTGAGTTGATTTTTGACAAAAATCTTGTTCGTTTTGGTAAAATTTTGAGCAAAGACTACTTTCATACAAAGAGTAACAATTAATATCTTGAATCTTCTATAAAGACCTTTCATTCATGTGCGTTTTAGCAAGAGAAAAGGTAAAGAAAAGTATCGAGAAATTCAGAGAAATACTTACGTATCATAACATTTTTCTTGAGTGCTTAATTGGTTTATATCCATTATATTGTGTTATTGTGCTCTAAATTTTGATTGATTTGCTATTGGGTAAACATAATCATTTGAGTTACTATTATTCTTTATATAATTTTATTAGAGTGAGCTTGGCACTACGACAAGTTGGTTGTGCTTAAACTTGAAAAACAAGTGATTGTAAAATGCTTGTTCCTCATTTGTGCAAGTAGGAACATATAATGGATTGAGAAATCTCAATTGTTCTTAAAGACTAGATATAGGTATGGCTGAAATATGATATATCGTTGTGTTTGATCTCTATATCCCTACACTTTTTAATTTATATTCTTGTGTTTATATATATATTGAAATTTGTTTATCCTTATATTGCTTTCGTCTTGTTTGATGTTTTATCTTTAAGTTTTTTTATCATAAATTTTTTTATCTTTATAAGGTTTTATTTATCGTATCAAGATTTTATTCACCCCTTTTAAAGCCTAGCTCTTAGTGTTGGAAATTCTAACTTAGCAGACTTTATATTTCTCACCATTGTTGGTTATTACATAAACCTTTTTTTCATTCTCTTTCCCACTTTACCATATCATCAATGTCCATGTCATTTTCTAAGGCTATCATCCTCTCACATGTATAACCATTCACCAAATCATTGTCATATACAATAAATACACATTCTATTGCTTTACTTCTTGTAAGCCTCTTTTATGTAAACAACAATTTGACTTGAGGTTTCCCAGTAGTATTGAGGCTTAAATGTGGTAAAACACTATTTGTACATTGATGATTGCCTACAAACACTAAACTAATACCATCCTTCAATTAAGAAGAGGTGGGTACAATTGTAGGCAAAGAGAACTCTTATAAACCATTTCATATATTAATAGTTTATGAGACATTCTCCACCATCTCTTTCCAATCAGTCTTGTTCCAACCCCAATATCAACTATTCTACTAACATTTAGCCTTATAAAACTACTCAAACATATCCCTAACTCCGAATAGAAGAAAGTTATTTTGATTTCTATCTTCTCACAAATTCGCCATCAATGTCCTCCTTAAAAAAAAAAATACTACTATAATAACGAGAATAAATAAACTAACATATATATATATATATATATATAATTAATTAATTAAACAAGAAACCCCTCGATCAATCGATCTTATCCAACTTAGATTCAAGTCACCCTTCACTCTAAATTATAACTAAATTTCATATCGTCACCTTCTAAACAACCATCATAATCTCTCTTCCTCTCTTCTTTCTTCATGAATGGATCATTGTCTTGGTGAATGAACACAATCAATATTTTATTTTAAAATTTTTAATTATCTATTTGTATCTACTTATGTTTAAATAATTTGTTTGTTGTTTTAAAAAAATATTTTTATGTAAAGTCATAAATATCTAATTGTTGTTATGTAATTTAATATTTTATTTATGTTTATAGTTACAAATAATGGAGTATAACTAACATTTGGTAAGAAAAGCCACTTTAGAAACTTTGCACTTGTCTATTATAACCACCAATTTTCTTTAAAACTTTTTCTAATAAGTGTTTAAAACAATAATCCACCAACAATGCTATTGTCATTTTTTTTTTAATTTTTCTATATTTACAAATAATAAGGTATGTTTTTGTCAATTCTAAAATAAGATTCTTTGAACTTATCAATAGCTCATTTTCAATACCATATAAATGAGAGAAAGAAGTTTTTGAAGAATGAGAATCAAACACTTGACTTGATGAGTCAAAGACATTCTTCTTACCACTCCACCTATCATCTTTAGTAATTACTAGATTTTTTACCCGCGTTACGCTACTTGATTGGATAAAATATATAAAATCATATAGAAAAATTATTTCAGTTTAATAATCTGTTTTATGATAAAAAATAATTATAATTTTTAAATAAAAAAATCATATTTAACTATTTCTTATTTGTGTTTTTAAATTTTAGAAATAAATAATAAAGTAAATAAATTATTGATTTCTTTAAAATTTTAACACCCAATTAATTGTTGGTTCTTTTAAAATTTTAACACATAATATTATTAAGAAATTAAAATTAAAAAAAATTCAATGTTTAGGGAAAAAAAAAAAGAGACCAGTAGTTTCATCGTTCATGTGAATAGTAAACGGATGGAAATTAAAAAAAATTAGTGTGTAGAGAAAAAAAAAAAAGAGGGCAAGCCGTTTACCATTCAAATGAACAATAAACGGCTAAAAAAAAGAGGGGGAAGGCCAGCGAGTGCTGGCAAAAAAAAAATCAAAACTTAAAAAATCAAAAAAAGCCAAAGTAATATAGCAATGAACAATGATTAACATTGTTCATTGCTACGATGAAAAATGGTTGTTCTTTAGTATATAGTATTAGATTTTTTATCTGCGCTATCTTGCGGGTTGGATAAAATATATAAAATCGTTTAGAAAACTTATTTCAATTTAATAATCTGTTTTATGCTAAAAAATAATCATAATTTTTTAATAAAAAATTTTATATTTAACTATTTCTTATTTATTTTTTAAAATTTTAAAAATAAATAATAAAGGAAATAAATTGTTGGTTTCTTTAAAATTTTAACACCCAATTAATTGTTGGTTCTTTTAAAATTTTAACATCAAATACTATTAAGAAACAGAAGCAAAAAATAAAATTTAAAAAAAAAAAGAAGAAAGCTGTTTACTGTTCATGTGAACAGTAACGGATGGGGGGCAACAGGTCTAGCCAAAAAAAATAATGAAAAAAAACTATAACATGAACAGTAATTGATACTGTTTATTACTAAAGTGAAAAAGCGTTTTGCTTTAGTACATTGGATAATTGTTTTTGATTTTATACTACTTTTCCACTCTATTTACGACAACAAAAACTCATAGAAAACCGACATCATCAGTTAAAACCCCACACAAAATCAGCCATAAAAAACCCACACAGCCCCTGCCATCTCAACCAAGGCCCAACCCATATATAAGCTAGCTAATTTCTCCTTAAGTTTGTTTTTCTTTTCTCTTTTTCTGGTCAGCCATAGCCACCATTGCCAAAATCAATCGAATCAAACCACCCAACCACTACCCCTCATAGCTGACCACATATACAAAACCCAAGCCACAACAGCCCCAACTCAAGCTTCGTTGGAGAAGAGAAGAGAAAAAAGGTACAAGAGATGTTAAAAGATCTTGTTTAAAAAAAAGACCAAGTGACATTAATTCACATTGAAATTAAGTAGTCATAGAAAAAATTGTAAAAACCTTTTCTTACAAAAACACCAATAAACATAACAAACTACAAATCCCAGAATTTTACCATGAAATCTCGATAAAGATAAAAACTTCATTTCGTATAACATGAACAAAATCCATCACAAAGATGATTGATGGGAGTTGGTTGGCGACAAAAAGGGAGAGAGAGGCTAACTATGGGCAGGAGAGGAAGAAGGAGATGGCGACTAGGGTTTTCTAGTTATGGGTGAGAAGAGGAAGAGATAGAGAGAAGGCTACTAGGTTTTGACAAGTTTTCTCTCTTTTTTTAGTTAGTTAATTAAAATAACAATTTTTTTAAAAAAATAATTTTTCTTTTTTTTCATGCTGTCACATGAGAGTTAAAAAAAAAAAAAAAAAAAAAAAACCCACATGACGGATGTTGCCAGATACGTAAGCATTATTTAATCTCAAGTGACAGCAGGCACCAAAAAAAATCAAAACTTAGGCAGTAAAATAAAACAAATTACCGATTGAGTATAAAAAAAAAAAAAAAAACACCTAGTAATTTGATGTTGTCGGACATGTCAGTAGTCTCAAGTGACTGCAGGCATAAGAAAACAAAAATCAAAAAATCAAAATTTAGGCAGTAAAATAAAGAAATTACCGATTGAGTAACAAAACAGAAAAAAAAATTACACATAAAAAGTACAGTTTTTTTTTATTATTATTATTTTACAAAGAGCCCAACCTACACCACAAAACTCCTTATATGATCTGTTTAGGGATTATATGAGCAAAAAGAAAAGGCAATTGAAGGGGCACAAGACTTAGTTTTTACTCATCGGTTTTGAGGTTATTTTTTATATGATTTTGAAAATTCATTTTTGTTTTTTAAAAAATTATTTTACAAAAAAAATCATAAATATATTTTATTATAAATAAATTGATTTAAATCAAAATTTTATTACAGAATTGATTGAAAATTCTTTTTTAATTAACTTAAGTATTCTAAAACGTTATTCTGAATATGTATATATATATATCAAATGTACTTTTAACTTAATTAATTTTACCAATTATCAAAAAAAAAAAAAAAAAACAACTTTAAAGTCATAATAATTCAGTCAGTCCAACTTTTGGACAATAGACCAGCAAACTCTAATTTTAAATTATGTGGATTCAGCAATACTTCAATTGAGTCCTTAAAATTTAAAATTTTCTATTTCTAATTTATTATAATTGGCTTTTTCTTTCATTTTTCCTCTATTCTCTCCCCACGTAGCCAAGACACAGACAGAGAGATTCTGCCTGGGACTGGATGCATGCCACATGCCGCTAACATGCGACATGGCATTAGCTAGCAACCCATTCTTATAAAGTGGGCAAGACTTGATATATAGTGAGTCAATTATTGTTTTCTTGGCCATGCCTATAGGCTTCATGATCATGTGCTATCTATTATACATACATATATATATATATATATGGTTCCTAAATTTATTATGCAGACTCGAGGAGCACCCACTTGTTAGCTAGGAACCCAATCACCTCGGCTAGAAAAGTTGGGTAGAATTCTTAGTTTTCAACTAGATAATTAATAGATCACTAGAAATTGCAATTATTACCAACTAATTTATGTAAGGAGTAAATTATAAATTATTTTCTCATTTCGAGAAACAAATTAATCACTAATTTTTATTTTAAAAAAATAATTATTTTATATTTTAGTTTCGTCAATGACTTAATCATCTATTTTTTTTTCTCCTTTTTTCAACCAAAAATTAAAAAAAAAAACCATCAATTTAAGGAAAAACTAATGTAAAAATTAAGTTATTAACATAATTAAAATGTAAGGGACCAAGTGATTATTTTTGAAAAGAAATGGACTCACTAATTAATTTTTCTAAACAAGAGGGACTAATTTATAATTTACTCTTTATATAAGTTAAATGCTTTATTCTTATTCTTATTTTTATTTTTTTGATACAAGGGAGAGGAAAATCTCCAAATAATAGGTTGAATGTTATAAAGTTTTGGAGAGGCTACATCATACATGTCCTCCAAAATGAGACTAATAAATCGTATAAGTGAATGCTCAAAGTATGAAATTTCTCTTCAAAGAGAGTAAGCATACGAGGCAAGTTCATCAGTCGGTCGATTAGCTTCTCTGCATGTGCTTTTTTTTTTTTTTTTTTCAAATTCTTAATTCTTTACCATTTTTTATTTTGAATGGACGAAAAAACTACTACAAAATTAAGAATGTATAGACGAATAAAAGTTTTTAACGCATATATATATATATATATATATATGTCTAATTAGGGATCCAAACTTCACATGAGAATGGAAAATATTTACGACATTTCAAAGGGGAAAATAAAAACTTGGTATTTACTTTTATCCTTGAACAAAATACATATTAATTGATCAGTTAAGCCATTAAAACTTTGATCAGATGGAAGTAAATTCTAATTCAATGATGCCCTTTCTTGCTATGCCTGCCCACATGGTGCAGCCAACCAATTCCTTTGAGGGCCTTGGAGATCTTGACGAGATTAGGCCTTCCCATTCCCAAATTCATCTTCCCAGCTGAGAATTTCAGGGCTTGCAAGCAGCACAGCTGCCTATCACTTTCTTCCTCTTCTAATTCTTCCTCATCATCATAGTACTCAATGCTGCCTTTCTTTCCCTTCTTTGTTTTGCTTTTTCCTTTAACTTTAATAGAGTCTGTCTCATATGTCTCCCAAAGCATGTCCATGCCTTCACCTCCATTCACATTGTGTCTCTCCTCGAACAGTTTGCATGCTAATGTCCTCCTCCATTCTTTCTCTTTTCTCATAGATCCAAAACTCCCAAGGTTCGAATATCCCAATGTTTCGGAGTTGTCTTTAACTTTTGACTTATAGTCTCCACCGTTACCTGGGCTCCAAGAATTTCCTTCTAGTCCTTGGGAACTCAGCTTTGGAGAGTAGAAGTGCTCTCCACCATCATCATCACTTACTTTAGCTTCACTCGTTTTTTGACCAATTTCCTTGGATCCCCTTCTAATCATGGATGGTTCTTCTTTTTGTTCTTCAACTTTATTGAAGTTCACGTTTAGTGGCTTGAATGCTTCTTTTTCTTCCTTTTGGAACCATAAATCTTCGAACTCCTCCTTTTGATGCAAGAAGAAGCCTCCTAATGTCTTTCCCTCCGCAATCAGCTCATGATCAGCACTTTCTGACCTCGTAATGAAAACTGAATTTTCATCCAAATTACGATTTGGCACTTCAGAGACACCACCTGCACCAAAAAGTTGATGGCTTGAACCCTTGTGAACCTGCACTAATTCAGTGCTTGAAAAGCAGTTCTGATCTTTAGCTTCTAGTACTTCCGAAACTTCAGCAGGATGGTCTTCAATATCAAGATTTGACACCTCAAACACAATCTTATACGCTTCTAGCTCCTCAAAACGATGAAACTCTTCAGTCCCATCTTCTACTTTAGACCGTAACCTCTCTACAACAGCTTGGTATGTTTTAAGGTAAAGAAAACTTACCTTGGATCCAGAAAATTCAGTATGAGAACTGTCATTGACAAGAATATTGGGAGAGATGGTGAGAAGGGCTAGGAGTAAAAGAGAAGTAGTAATGAAGAGAGGAGAGAGGAAAGAGAGAAGCTTAAAGAGGTATGGAGAGAAGAAGATCAAATAAGAGAAGTATAGAGGGTGAGAGAGAATGAAAGAACAAAAGAGGAACAAGTCAGATAGGAAAAGACTTGACAAGCGGTCAGTTTTCTTGGAGGTAGTTGATGAAGAAGAAAATTCAGACATTTTTTTTCCCTTTCTTTGAAATCTGTGAGATGAGAGGATCAGAAACAGGTGCAGTGATCGTGATAGAATATGGAGTTGAAACAAGTTTGGTTGTTTCTTGTTTAGGTTTAGTTTAAGGAATGGAAGAGACAGAAACGTGAGAAATTGCAAGGAAGAGCGCCGTGAATGAAGGGGAAAAAGCATGAAGATAGAGGAGAGTATAACTAACATTTGACAAGAAAAGCAACTTTGGAAACTTTGCACTTGTCTGCCTATAACCACCAACTTTCTTTAAGCTTTTTCTAACAAGTGTTTACCACAACAATCCATCACCACTCCTGTCGTCCAATTTATTTATTCATTTAAAGTAATAGAGTATTTTATGATTAATTTTAGTATCAATTCAATCATTGTTTTAAGATAAATTTAGATCACATTTATTTTTTTAACCAATTTTAAAAACTAAATTCTTTGAACTCACCCGTCCATCTTCAATACCAAATAAATGGAATAGAAGCTTTTCAAAAATTAAACATTTAATTTAATAAATCCCATATATTTTTCTCACCACTGTACTAAAAATCTGTAACTACTATTGAAAAATTAAACTATAAAACATGCAGAAACTCAAAAACAAAGTTGCTATTTCCAATCTACAAAGTGCCACCTGAGAAAGAATATTTTTTTTCTGCCAACTATATGTTAAGAAATTAATCAAATAAGAAAATAAAGTAGAAATACATGAATAATCACACAACACAATATAATATAAAATTTACATAGTTCAACAGTTGTATTTATTCCATAATTGCATTAAAATTTATTATTAAAGTTTTATTAACTGGATACTAATAAATACAAATGATGTTATCTTCACCGTTGATATCCACATAAGCATCTTAAAATACCGATCACATTGATGCAGTCTCAACAACTTAATACCATAAGCATTACATAGTCAATATATTATAAAAATTTGTTATGGCAGCATAACTTTTGTGGTTCTAATAGCATGAAGAACATATATTTCTTTTTTATTATAATATTCAATAATATCTTCAACTTAATTTCCACTTAGGTAAACTCAACTCAACTCACCTCATGCGTAAAATATATTACTTGTATCCGTTTGGACAATGAAAAAGAAAAAAGAAAAAAGATCGGTGTCCGTATGGTAATCTCAATTAGCATTACTCTATTTTTTGACAAAAACGTTGCTTGCAGACTTTAAAAAATAACATGTTCAGGCCATCTCCTACTCATGGAACAATTATTGCGGCATATGTATCAAGATCCAAGGCAAAATCACCTCATATAGCAAAAACAAAGATGCAATGACTAATTATTCATTAAAATATAAGAGAACTTTTTTTTCCTTCTCATAACAAAATGGTTTCAACTTAATTAGTAATTGAATCTTAGCTAATTAATCAAATATGAAAGAAATAAATACTCTTTCTGTTAGGCCAATGGAAATCTCAACATTTACTCATGAAAATCACAAAACCATATTGTGCATGATGTACAACCAATTCCATTTAATCCAAGACCTTGCTTTCTGCTCGGTGGCAACAACTGCCACTAACCCCAGATCATTTAAACAGCTAGCAAACTAGAGTGGCATTTATAAAATTTACTGCAAAAGATGGTCATGCATTGAAGAGATTAGTAAAGTCTCAATTTAATGTGGAAAGGAAAGAGTAGCAGTTTGCAAATTATACAGCATTCATCATTGATGATGCTAATTAAGTGAGGAAGGTGATCATTGGAGACAGAAGGTGATAGAAGGGGGTTTGGATAATAGATTGGTTGCACATGGGAAACCACTCATGGCTACTCAAGGGCACGCACCCTTTTGTCCTCTGCTTTTCACCCCTGCAATGGACCCATATGTCTTGTTTAACTTTTTGGTGTTGCTACGAGCGTGTTGATCATGGAGATTTTTAGGTTTCTTTTTAAGACCATTTTAAAGTTTTCCATTCTCTTTTGGAAGATTTATTGTTTGTTCTCATTAATTATGGAGATGAAGAAATAGCATAAACAGAATATTAACTTGCCTTCACGAGAGAGACGATCGACAGTCATAGCAATAATGATTTGGTTAATTAGCTCGCTTTTGGTTGTTGAGAAAAAAGGAAGAGATGTAATGAGTAACTCTTCATTTTTCATGGTTGTTGAGTTGAGTTAATCTCTCTTTACCAGCATATAAAGATTAGATTTCTTGCCATTTGGTACATATATGGATTCCTTTTGGAATGCTGTTCGATGCTCCAAACTCTCAGTAATGTCATTCGATTAAGACTAGTCCAGGTTGCTTTAATCATCAAAGTAATTTTAGGGAGGTTGCATAGGCTAGGCATCTCCGGGAAAGTTACTTGATTTTTCTAGATGTTTTAGATCCTTCTCCCTCCTTCAATATTGAGGACTTTGCTTCAAGAATCTCTATAATTGCATTGTTGGATTTTTATTCTATCTAACCTTGTGCTTTGTTTTTATGTCAATTTCATATTGAGGTCTTAAAGCATACATATTACAGTCACATAAGATTTTCAGGAGAAGAACGTGTTGATTAGAATATATTAAGTTTTGTAATGTCATCAAGTCATGATATGTTATTGCATGCATCATTGATTCTGCTTTACTCAAGCCAGACAATCACTTTATGTTGTAAATATCAGTTTCCTGAAAGAAACCTGTTATAAACAAAACCTAACCATATTCATGTTCTCTTTAATAGAAAGCAATTCCTACGAATATGTTTTCTTTAATCGAAAACAATTCTTACCAATACTACCTCAGCAATTAGAAACTACACTTTTACCTCGCCTATTTCCTCAAATTTCCTAAACCATGCAAAATGTTACACCTCGTCATCGATCTCATCTTATTAGCAAGAGAGAAATCTCCAGCTGTATCGCTTTGTGCTATGATAATAAATTACCATAGGTCAACATAAATCATTCACCAAGGCCCCAGCTGTTGACAATTTTAACATGTGCCCCACACGTAGAAACTGCTTGCCATTATTTTTCCGAGTCCTTTGACCTGCCCTATCGAAAGATTTCGACATCTTTACAGTCAACTGTCAAAAGAGACTGGCAACAATAACACTTTCTACTAAATGTTACCATCCAAATACAGCAGGAATGAACTACGAAAGAAGAAGAAGTCAAATTATTGACCGACCACCACCCCTGTAAAACTAACGTCGACCATGGTTGCATGCGATCGTGAAGGGTCTGGCAGGAGGGAAATTACTCCCCTTGGCTTTAACATCGATGGTTGAGGAGCGAGGAAAATTTAAAGGGTCTGATGCATGAAACACAATCCGAAGGGAGTCTAAGACAGGCAATGAACTCTGTCAGCTGCCATCATTAATAAGCCATTGAATCTTGAAGTCTTGATCCCAATTATCACAAAATGGTGGTTATAGTATTTAAGTTAATACAAGTGTTGCCTCGCATGTCATATTAACGTAAGACCATATGAAAGACTGGAAATTTTCTGACATCAATTCCACTTAATTCACAAACTCAAATTAACATCCATTTCCAAACAGAAGTACATCGGGAACTCAAAAGCAATAGGGTTCATTCATATTAGACAGGAGGTAATCAGAAATACCTATGATAGCATTTTGAAACATTCTAAACCCATTCTAAAGCTGGTAACTATAGACCTCTCACTCTGTCATAACAGGCTTGTTCTCGTTAGCTTTGGGTCTCTGTTCCTTAGGCTTCTGCTCCTCCATTTTCCTGACATACCCAACAAAAATTGCATCCAGACTTCAAGATAATAAAAAAAACAAAACCAAGAAGCACCAAAAAATAATTCAAAGGTATCGGAATCAATCTAAAAGGGTGGATTCATCAAATATGCATCGACCAGTAAAATATAGTGACACTCTATCTGATTGTAGGTTATTTCAACTGGCATCATGAACACTAGGAAACAAGGAAAAGATGCCAACAAGGCAACACCAGCAAAAGCATGCAGTATATGGCGAATAAAAGCTCTTCCTTCAACTTAGAAGCAACCTCAGGAAAATTAACCCCACATGTGATGTATCTCTGATAATGAACATATGTGGTATCCCAATAGACATGTTAAAACTACTGAACTAGATCAAGGGCCACTGGCTAAAACCAAATGCAAGAAAAGTGGGGCTAGTAAGGATTGAAGAGGGAATAATAAGTCAACGAGAAAAATTCAAGAGTTGGTTAAAGCTTGAGGAAAGGAATTTCAAAATAAGGAAAGCATTCAAAACCTTTTTTTTTCCACAAAGCAGATGAGCTTAATAATGTATGATTAGCAAAATCCAAGCCAGAAAGTCAGAGAACACATTCTATATCAGAATTGAAAATTTAAAACTGCATTGGGTATCATAGGGAGACACCTCAAACAGGTATTTAAAAACGGCATTCAATTAAATTTTGTGACACATTCCGCTCAAATTCCAATAGAAATTCAAGGCAAATAGAACTATATCCTTTCCTGATCTGGTTTGTAGCATCAATCTAGCTAAATTACATTTAAAGTTCCATGCATAATCAGAATTGTCCTTCAAATTCTTTCGTCTGGGTTCAAAAATCTTGACATGCAACACCATTAAAATTATATAAATCTGCTCCATATTCAAGCATTTAATTAGAGGATTCCAAAAATTTGTAAATCCATCAATTTCCCGGTATACTTTAATTTCATTTGACAATATGAGGGGAAAAAAGATAATTCACAAAAAAATTTCTTGCTAAAAGTCTTCCAAATTTTCGTTTCTTTTTGCAAATAAACAAGCGCCTCAGCATTACTACAGAATCATAAAATACCCATAAGCAAACCGATCAAAACAAAGAAGGAAACAAAAACCTGATAATCTTCAATATTTAGGACAATCATAAGCAAGTCATAGTCTGTCTTGCAGATTCAAATTCTAAGAGAATCAAGCTCTTTAAACTAAATTATTACACGTCGAAACACCAACATAGTTATCTAGACAGACAAATACCTAGAACAAAGACTGAAACAGATGAACAAGTTACCTCTTATCAGAAGAGCCACCCTTCTGACTGAGGAAGGAGCGAAAGAGCGGAGAGTTGACGTCGTAGATCATCTTGTCGACTGTAGAGTTGTTGCTTGCTTCTACAGAAACCCTAGCTTTGCTTCTGCTGCCGTTGCGATCGCTCCACAACAGGGCCTTGTTTGGACTTTATACTCCATTAGGAGAAAGGCTTCCAAGTTGTCTGTTTAACGAATTATTGGGCTCCTTCTATTTCCATTTTAGACTGTACCTAATGGGCTTTTCTAAGCCCATCCCCACTCAGGGTTCCTGTCCCGACCCACCCACCCCTTCTCCCCACCACCACAACAAACATCCCCACACAAACACCACCAGCCCCCACCCCCACCGCCCGGCCAAAACCCAAAAAAATTGATGAGAGTGTGAATATAGAAATAGAATTCAACTCAGAAATCAGAATACTGTTACAGTCGTACATTTATGCTTTTTAAAGTACGTTTAGGAAAATTGTAGCTTTTGACTGTTATAAATATAAAGAATATTTGAAAATGTTTGCTGTTAAAATATTTTTATATTAAATAAGATTCAAAAACCTAAATGATTTATTCTGTAACTTCAGAATTTTAGCTTCTAAATAACTCTCAAAATAGTTTTAGAATTTTACCAAATATTTTTTTGCAATTGCTTTTAGAGAAAAAAACTCTAAAAGCTAAAAAAGGAAAATCAAAAGCAAAAACAAAAACTTTTTAGTCTCTAAGGCTATATAAATTACCCTAATAAATTATAAATTGGCTCCTTTTAAATGTTTATGAAATAAGAGGTTTTTACAGATAGTAAGTGGTTTCTCATGCCATCTAGCATATAGATCTACCTACCTTTCCATTTAATGTATATTAAAGTTGTCTATATGAGAAAAAAAATGTATAATGAAACAATATATATATATATATATATATATATATCACATGTTAATATATATTAAAATTGAATATATATAGGGAGAGATGTATTTATGATCTAATAATTAACATTAACAAAAACACTAAAACAAAATCTTGTTTAATATTCACTTAACTACTTTCAACACCATTCACCTAGACTAACTTTATTATTCACCAAGACTTATTTGTACTATTTCTTTTACTATTTTTTGGCATTTTTGAAATTTTTTAGGTTTCATAAGACATTTAATATGCAAAATGTTGTGGCATTACATTTTAGTATCTTTTTTTTACATATTTTTTTGTTTCAATTTCGAAAAAACTATATACTAGCTTTGTTTTTTTCTCTTCGATAATTTAATTTTAAAAAAATATAGAAAATCAATCTTTTTTTTAAAGTTTTATGCACAAAATGGGAAGAAATAAATATGTATGTTGTGTTTCATATTTCAATTTCGAAGTTCATTTCACTAGCTTGGTTTTTTCCAATAATTAATTTTTTAAAAATTATTGATTTTTTTTTGCAAAAAAAAAATTGATAGTTATTTTAAGTTTTTTTGCACAAAATGGAAAGAAATAAATATATATGATTTTTTTATATTTTTAAATGAACATATTTTTGTTTAATTTCGAACATCATTTTATTCGCTTGGTTTGTTTTTCAATAATTTATTTTTTAAAAAAAATTATTGATTTTTTATGTAAAAATTATAGAAAATTTATGGTTATTTTTATAAGTTTACTATGCAAAATGGCAAGAAAATATATATATATAATGTGTTTCATATTCTAAATGAACATATATTTCGTATTATAATACTCTTATTATTTAAAATTAATTCTTTCAACGTGTCATTTTTATAGAAATTCTCTTCCAATTAAATTTTAATTTTAATTTTTATAAAATTTTATTTGTTGACAAATATGATTTATTTTTCTCTATGTATGGATTTTTTAGTTAAATTTTATAAAATATTGTAACCCAGTGAAAATCCTTAACCACATAGCTATACATACTTGGAATATTTATATATGTCTATACTAGGTATAGGTGTGATTTATGTGCCATTTTAATATTTTTTTATGTTAACATGCTTAGTGTTTATGTGAGGATTTATGGGATGAACTTCGGCCAACCTAGCTAGTTACCATTTATTTCCTTTAACATATATTTAAAACATATTATGAAGTGAGAACAATTATCTAAAGGTGTGAAGAGTGCCGAAATGTGGGGAATTGCCAAAAAATTAAATGAATGCTGAAATTTTGGGGGCGAGAAATGTAACTCCCGTGAAAATTTCTAACCATGTATATATATATCTGGAACATCTATAAATATATATACTAGATGTGAGTATAAATTTATGCAATTTTTTATTTATTTTGTGGTGATAATATAATTGGCATTTAAGTGAGTACTTATGGGAGTAAATATTCGGATAATTTGGTAGTCATCAATTATTTTCCTTAACAACTAGTTAGAATATATCATACAAATGAGAAAAAATAATTTAATATTTGGGAAATGCCGAATTATTGGAACCAAACTACCTTAGAAATTTGTTTAGCCTAATTACCCATTTTAGTTATAAGTTGGACACCTAAGCTTCTCCATTATTCTATTTGGTGACACCTAGCAAGCTTTGACCATTGAACCCGCCACCTTGCTTCTATTTTCTCCTTCACTTTACACCTTATAACCATAAAATTAAGACATATGGTATACTAATTAATGAGAAGAAAAAAGGTAGAGTATATAAGTGTGAGAGAGAGTTAGACTTAACCATTTTTTTAGGAAAAATCGTAGCTCACTAAAGAAAGAAAAGGAACGAAATTGAGAGGGGAAGGAAACGGAAAAGAAAGAAAGAAGAAAGGAAAAAGGGAAAAGCTAGGAAATCTTTAGGAAAGCTTAAATCAAAGTAGATTTTATGTTGCATTATGTTTATGCCATAAATTTCATTTATATGTGCTTAAATTAGGTTATGGTTTAAAGCTTTATATTATGTTGTTATGGGTTATTCATGTTAGTATTTTGTGTTTGATGGCTTGATGTGAAATTAATGGTTGGATTGTATATGTGATGATGAATGATTGGTATGTTTATGTATCCAT